CGGGCGCCCTTTCCCCCTGCCCGCCCCGCCCCAAATGAAATCTCCTTTCCGTGTTTTCGTTTCAAGGAAATCGCGCCCTACCTCGGTCTTGCGCCATTACGCATCTGGAAAGGGCGGGAGGGGGGAGCCGGCCCCTCCACCGTCCGGAGGCGCAGGAGGAAAGCCGGCATCTTTCGGGCACGGATCGCTGGCCACCTCCGGGAGACCCTCGCGCGCCGAGCCCGACTTCTGGGGACTCCGACGCCTCTTTCTTGGCATCAGCGCCGAAGTGCTTTGGCGTCGCCTTCTTCCGGGTTGGTCTTTCCAGCCGCTTCCCCGGACTGTCCTAGTGTTGTCGCATCCAAATATCGAGGTTGGCCTGAGCTGCGCCTGCTACGGCTCGGCGTCAGGCATTTTTGGATCTTAGTGTTTTCATTTCTGTGGCTTTCTTTCAGAAGCTCAAGGCTCCAGTCTCTCCTCCGGCCTCGGAACTCCCTTGGATGGTAGGTAAGAAGGAATGACCAGCTCCAAATTATCCAACAAGTTACACCGTCAAGGGGAGACTTAAAGCCAGAGTCTTCTTGCTTTATGCCAACCGTGGCCGGAACTCAGAAGCTTCACCTTGCTGATGGTATCATTATGTATAAAGTAGGCAGTGAAAGAACTCTAGACCATGACATTCCTCTGTCGGCAAATATGTATAACCCAATTAAATGTAAATCAGCATTTGAAGGTTTTATTCCAAAAGAGTATGTTAATGCTTTGCATTTTATTGCATTTTCTAATTTTCTGTTTTTGCAGCTCGTTTTTATATTTGGTGTTTTATTTTGCCAATGGTTTCTTGGTTGCTGCAACTTATGCAATTCTGCCCCCCCCCCCCGGTTTGCTAGAGAATATAATAAACCTGACTCTCTCAGACCTTTCTACAAACTCCAGTGGGAAAGGGAGGGGTAATTAACATTGTTTCTGAAATCACAGCTCACCTGTTGGCAACAATAGGTGGGAAGTTTTCCCACTGGATCAAAACATCTACATATAATTGAAGTTGCTAAGGTCTCACCCTTCTAGCCCACAGAAGCCAATATGACTTGGAACACACCAGTGTATCTGGTGCTTCACAACAACCGTGCCGATTTAATTACAGTACATGTATGAAAATACTTTGTGCTTTAATACATTATGAATTACATTGGAAGTACACTCTAAAAATGATGTATAAACACCGAAAAGAATGATCTCAAAGTATCAAATATGAATATGTTGGCAGTTATATATATCAAAAGTGAGAATTCTTTGAAATGTCATATTGAGTGTACACAGTACACAATAGCTTTGAATTGCAAAATCAATGAGAACACTTAGAGGACTAGATCACTTAGTGAGCTGTAATGGAATTTAAACTGGATGCACAAGTCTATTTTGCTTATCTTATGGGCAGCAGTGCAATGGAAGACTGGGTGTCCTCATTAACCTGTTTTCTGTTTCTTCAATGCAAGGCCATGCAAATAAAAACTATAATCTAACTCCCAACAAACATAACAGGGCAATGTTAGAAATTGGATTCTGGAATGGAAAAGCCCTTTATCATATTTTATTATTACTCTAAATTTTAGCAAATCAGTGGTTAAGACTCTGTTCTTAATTTTTTTTTAATTTAAGAAATTAATATCCCATAACCGTGACAGAGAAGCCATATTTCTTCTAGAGTTTGTCAGATACAGTACTCCTTATAAGAACTCTGTCATTCTTTATTATGGAATGTAACTAATCTTGCCTACTATAAACACTGATAGATAATATCTAAAAGCCCCAATATAATAAACACAGGCTGTATTTGTACATGTTATCCATGATTTATTGAATCAGTTTTCTTAACCTAAATATCTGGAGTTGCACAATACATTGAATCACAAGCTAGCCAACCGTATTTTAACTTAGTGTGCTATGTGAATCTATCTCAGTGCTATTAAAATAACTGACACTCCGCTGTATAACACTAAGAACTAAGAGGCAAAACTAGATTTTACAAACCATATCACAAATTAAGAAAAAAATTAAACATCTGGGATGTATAAATGTGGTACAGAAATAAATAAGCAAGTGGAGAAGTGACTTAAAAATCAGTTTCATCCAAATCTGCGAGCACCTGAGGATATGGTTTTATTAAAATTGTTCACAATGGATGGCAAAGTAGGTTCTAAGGGGGAAAAGACTTATTGTTCAAGAATATTCTCACATTCTGCAGTAGCATATACTATGTAGATCCTACATATTATAATTACTGATAGCATTTATATTCTATCTTTTCTCCAGGAGCTCGAAGTGGTATAAAACTACAGTAAGTTGCAAATCCATCTCTGGATTCTGACTTCCAGCCTGCTAACAGAACTTAGTGTTTTTAAGTCCAAATGACTTTTTGATATTGCAACATGGTAGTCTCCACACTGTATGTTCCATACAAAACCATCAGCCTAACAATCAGTTTTTCAGAAATCAAATTTAACTGTTTCGACCTTCCTATAAAAATGTCTTCGAAAGTTTTTATCATTTATCTCACTTTTTTTCTGTTAACATCTGCAAATTTATTGTAGAAAGTCAGCCAGCAATGAGCCTCTGCTATAGCAATCTCCCAACTGGAAACTGCATACTCTTTTACTTTTAATACATGAGCCTATAGTTTTAGTAACTCTCATTTGTACAGCCTAGTTGCTTTTCAGATTTTCTTGTCACAGAAAATGTAAATGCATTCATAAACCTGATTTCTCCCTTCTACATAGCCTTTTAAAACACTATCACTGCTTCCAGACTCATGACTGTCTTCTATTTTAGTCTGCCTAACAAACTTTTCCTGCCAAATATTAGAGAAAGTTTGAAAATCTTTTAGAACTATCTATAATTCTGCAGTACATCTGCAATGTGATCTGAATTTCATCTAAGTCCTGTTAACAAATAAAAATATTTTGGTTAAACAAATAATACACAAAACAATATACAGGTAGTCCCCGGGTTAAGAATGCCTGGTTTACAGACAACCCATAGTTGAGTACGGAGCCTACTGTAGCAAAATTCAAGTTAAATACACAATGGTTCAAGTTAATTACACAATACTACTAATACAGTATTATACAATAACACTGTTCTGGCTTACATACAAATTCAACTTAAGAACAGACCTTGGGAACAGAACTCATTCTTAAA